CACTGTACCATCAAACAAAAACAAAGCTCTAAACAGTTTCATCTTTCAGTTTTAGACCATATACATATACTGAGTATCCACAAGCAGCTAATATACTCATGCTCATATTGTCAGTGAAGCGAGTTAAGTGAGTTATATGAGTCAACTGAGAACTGTACATATGAATGGTTTATGTAACGCTATGGTAGAATTTACTAACAATGAGTGGGAAACAACTGCATTGGATAGCATGAAAGGGAAGTGTTACATTTAACCTTGCTGGAAATGGTGTCATTGTGATGATAAGATGCTGACATAGCATGTTGTGGGTGTCTTGGTGTACAGAAAATCCACAGTATACTGTGTGTACTTGGTGGTGCAAAGATGCAGCAGAGAGGCTTCTAAATTCTTTATCTTAGCACAAATATTCAAAAATTAGGGCTTAGCAGTGTACTTCCTTTTAATATTTATACATATTGTGTTTACAAATTATGACGTTTAATTGGCAATCATGAATATTTGAGTGTGAAATAAAAAATGGTTACATTATGAAGTTACCTGCTGAGAATTCCAGACAATCCCGAGCTTTAGCTTTGGATTTAACTCTTCATTTTGTCCTGCGTTGTGTTGTGCACGTGTGTGCATGCGTCCAAGTAGATGGATGTCGGTGTGTGAAGCTAATTCCAAAACCTTTACCACAGCCTTTAACTTAAGTTAAAGTTCTGTTGGGATATTATTTTGGACCACTGCAAAATAACATTTTACTTTTATTACTCCAATGATTATTATTTCTCACAGAACAATACTTTGAATTGTTTATGTTGCCTATTCATGTCCAGTTGTGAGAATAAAAGTAGCTGGTGGACCTGGATTATGTGCAGGTACAGTATGCTTAGCCACAATACATGTATACACTGTACATTTCAGTCAAATACTTATTTTAAATTAACGTTTTTTGACTGTCTTGTGTTGTGTCCATTGAACATTTGTATTTAGTTTAGTGCACTTGCATTGTTTTATATGAGGTATAACAAGTACAATCTGAAGTGTCAAACTCAGGTCTTTAAATACACAATTAAACAACACTGGTTTATGCTCTCCAGTGCTGTTAAATGTGTGTTTACATCAGTAATGATGGGTTCCCCACTCTGCTGGTAGGTGGTTGTAGCACAACATGTGGGAAAGAAACAAGTGATTCATAAATGCTGAACATTGGCAGCACTGATGCAAAAATAATTCCTCATAATAATAGGAAATTCAATGTTAAAAGAAACATAAAAAACATAAAAAACATCATAATTTGTGCAACATCCTATTTTAAGAAAAAACTGTTTAAACCTCTTCACCATAGATGTTATAAATTCTCAATTTTAGCAGATGTATAGGTCTGTGATTGTGTACACATAAAGTAAAGCTATATTAATGTGTTCACATGCAGTCTGTATGTATGCGAACAATTTGTGCATGTGTGCATGTCTGTTAACATGAGATATAATGTTCTGGTAGGTATGAATGGGAACTTGTTCCCCTGTGTGTGTGAGTGTGTTACGCTGGACCTTGTGCGACACAGTGATTCAGAGGAGACGCAGCTTATGGCTGATTGCAGAGAGCAGCTCACAGAGGGGAAGCACTCTTTTGCCTTTAACAACAGCCTGGTGTATTCCTAAGGACGACTGATTGAGGCAAGTCACCCTTAATTCTCTGCAGAAAGGGAACCACAGGCTTTAGCCACAAAACTGCCTGAAAGTATAGAAACCCTGCAATTTGTCAGAATCAACTTCTGAAACTGACGTCAAAGTGCAATCTAAACACACTGGTTCCAAACTTTGTTCATCCCCGATTGTTTTGCTGTGAGAGTTTCTCGTCCTTTTGCTACCAAATGCGCATAGCACCTCACTGAAACACACATTTGGAAAGTCTCAATTAGCCTGATCCAGATTGGATGGATGAGGGATAACATGACACCGGGAGCTCGAAACGAAGGGAATGAGACACTGTTAAGCAGGCACAAAGACCGGGTTCAAGAGACTGCTGGCACTGTGACATGAAAAAGCCTCAGGGGCGAAATAACGGCAAGCAGAAATCAAGCTTTACTGCAGTAATTGAAGGGAACTACACTTGGGTTTATCCATGTCGCCTGCTAAAGTCTCAGTCTGAGGCCAGATGGGAGCACTACCTGCTACATACTGGATAGAGATCCTCATCACCGAGGAGCAGCCCGACCGTGCAGGAGCCACAACATACCACTGACTAACAGAGCCTCAGGAAACCCAGGTCCAGTGACATCACATGCCAGTTAAGAAATTCCTCCCTTTTCAAGAGTGGTTCATTCCACAAAAACTGAAAAATCTGTAAAGCCCTGCCCTGCTTTTATACATTTTAATATACTATTAATGCTTGAGATAATCTTAGGTTGAGATCCTTTTGAGTGGTTTCGGACCAGCACTCTTGAAGAATCTGTGCTAGTTGAGAATGTGACAGTGTCATTAGAAGCCTTGTGTTCACTTATAACAAAAAGGTCAGGAAATCCTTTCAGGGTCACCAGTGTTCAGAAGGCCACTTTTGCTTTGAGAGTCAACAATCCCTTTAAGTGCCGGATAAAAGCTCTATAGGACGCCCGAAGGAGCGAATGGTTCTGCACTTGCATTTGTTCACATGAAAACACTGATATAAACTGCAGTGTGAATGACTTCCCTTTAAAAGGTCAAATGGACCAACACTAAAAAAACACAAGTTTGACATATTAAACGCTGATTGGGCACATTCACAATTCACAAAAAACATGCCCTAAAACAGAGTGACACCGATGTTCAGTGTGAATACACAAAGTTGTTATGACAAGATTGACTCTGCCACATATTGATGCTGAATATGAATTCACAGCAGTTGGTACTAAGTTTGTGTGAAACGGAACAAATGATTAGCACATATGGCCCCCGTGATGGATACATACACACAGAGGGAAAAGGGGGGTGGGGGGGCGTATTCCGTCAATATCGGTTCTTTCAAAATGTAAAAGCACTGCGAGTGATAATTTATCCATAACCTGCACATCTCTCACCTAAATTATCGTCATCCATCTCTTTCAGTTTAGTTCTCTCACACACACACACACGCACGCACGCACGCACGCACGCACACACACACACACACACACACACACACACACACACACACACACACACACACACACACACACACACACACACACACACACACACACACTTTTGCTTTCCGTTCCCATCAGCTGCCCAGAGATGGAGCTGTTAGTGGGCAAGACGCCTTTGCTGGTGTCTATTTGTTTGAGCAGCATCGCTGAATTTTCGTCTTATATGATCACTTGCAGTGTTCTGAAAAAGCTGTGTTTTGTTGCCCACGAATAACTGTTCCTCGTTGGCACAAATGAAGGTTATTAAAACGTGAGGAGGCGTGCAGAGAGTCCAGAGCTATATACTTTTTTTCCTTCTCTCCACTATCTGTCTCGGGCGTGCGCGCCAACACAACTCGCACGCGGGCACGTGTTGGTTATGCATGCCCGCACGTGCACGCGCGCGCACAGGCAAATCGAGTCACATGCAGCGGTTGCGTCTGGCTTTAAGGAGAAGGGAAGCAGCTTGAAATGATACTCCACTTGCATTACAATAGCATTAATTCTGCGGGAGGAGTTCGGTGGGGTTGTGGAGGGGTTTCTTGTTGTCATTATTCAAGAAATGTGCGCGTGCAACCACAGCATCAGGTTATAGGAACAACATATGAGAAGATCTCAATAAGAGAGGGGAGAAGTCCATGTGAAACATTCGGGTTGATTTATTGTAATTGTTGTCATTATTTTAAGATTTCACAATGTTTCTATAATATTTGTCCTGAACGTGGAACAATCTCAGATAGATAAATAGATAGATGGATGAAAGAATACAGAGGCACATAAGCCAATGACGTCCCTCATAACTATCGCTCATCCACTACTTATACGCGCGAGGAGGCAACACACATACACACAAACACGCACACTGAGGAAACGTTGCACTGCAGACCAGACTGACGTGACTACACTGCCAGCTCACTATGCCTGCTCTGAAGAAAATAAACCCCCAGTCAGAACTGAAGGCGAAAAATGAGTTTTTCCTCTTTCAAAAGCATTCCCAAATCAACAGCTGGGATTTATAGGAGGCTTATGCAACCATGAATTACACTGATGTGATATAAACTGCCCATAATAATGTCCTTGTTTTCCCCTTATGCCTCCTGCTGTAGTCCTTGGAGATGAAAATGTCTTCTGATTTGTAGTTTAACTTGAAATACGCAGATGACTACAAAAATATACGCTGGGTATCATCAGCCCAATTTTTTTTCCCCCTGCCTTGCAGATGCACGCGGCTCAGCGCTCCTCGCCGTTCTCAGCTCAGTGTGGAGTGGCGCGGCTGTAGCAGCAGAATATTTGGCTGTAAACTGAGACACAGTGCGGTTGTCTCGATGCGAAACGCAGGCTTTTAGGAGACGGTGAGTGATACGGTGAGTGATTCGAAGAGGATTTTATTGCAGAGAGAGGCTCGTCTCATTAGTGCAAGCTGGTGAGGGAACACGATTTTCTTTACATTTTGGAGGTGTCTTTTCCCCTTGCTTGTGTGCGCGCGTATCCGATGCCGTGTAATCCATTCGTGTTTCATTCGGTTCTTTTTTGCTTCATCGTAAATAGTCACTGTCCGTTTTATTACTGTTACTCATGTCCATTAGATGCCCTAGCTGTCTTGGGTTTTTCAACGATCTTTTGATGTATGTCAGTTTTATCTCTTCGGAAATCATCACGTATCGGAGCGAGACAGAGAAAGCGCGATGGGGAAAAAACAAGGGATCCCAGTTGAAAATGTAAGATGATTTTTGTATGGCAGCCACTAAAAAGAGATTAGGGGCGACAGCAGTGGAAGTTAAATTGTGCTGCATATAAAATGGGCGGGCTAGTCTTTATATTAGGTTGGTTCAGCCTATTCCAAAATTAAATGGTCTGCGCTTGGACACAGTCTGTTTGCCATGCACTTTATTTACAGGCACTATTGATGAACTAACCGTTATTTTGGATAGGGACCTCGGTCCATAGACCAGATGTGTTAGTTTAGTGGAATTTTTTTTTTGTTGCCGACAGACTGAGAGAGTTCAACTCACTACAGCAGCACCAATGAACAGTGAGAGAGACCTGCGCATATCGTCAGCAGCCGCTTCTCCAGCCTCAAGCTAAAATTCGTCAGATCTGAGATCACAGAGGATCTTTCTCATTCAGTCCGGCTAGAAAAGATATTCTCAAAAGTTTGGGGATATAGCCAGCGGACACCGAATATACCCCGACTCGTCAGCTGTAAGTGATATTCTCAATTTTCTTGCCTTTTTATCAGGCAGAAGAAGGAGAGAGGGGAGTAACACTCGGATTTAGAAAGGGATGGTTTGTGTTGCTGGACACCGCTAGAAACGAAGACGAGTTTTATTGGGGAGAAGGGGAGTTCGCCGTCGAAATTACGATCGTTTAACGGGTATGTTATGGCAAAGAAGAACCATTTGATGTTTTAAACGGGAGACAGCATCACGGACGGCGCTCAGAATAAAACAGCATCAACGTACATTTGCTTAATTACTCCGCCACGCACCAATTGGATCGCCATGCATGCATTTAGAGCAACCTTGCAGGGATGCCAGTTGCATGCTTAATTTCTACCCAGCTCGACTATGTGCATGTATTGTAGGGAAGAGGGTGACATTTCCTCTGAATAACTTAGAAAGTGTGCCTGTGCGGGATTTTCTGATCCAATCGTTAATCTGCATCATCCCCGCTTTGTCAAATCCTTGTCAACCAAAGGATTTATTTCATTTTTATTTCATTTTATCAGATCATTGTACGTCCACTGACTCCCATCCACTTCCAGTGCACCTTGGAACATCACAAGCAAGTCGCAGGGGCATTGTCTTCTATGTGGGCTGTGTTTCGCGGCAGGATTCTGTGGTCGTGTGTGAAATGGTTTAGCGCTTTTCTATAAGTAAGTAATTGGTCTTTGCGTGGACACATCGATTATCCCTTCAAAAATGGCCCGTAAATGTGTTTTGCATGCAAAGTAGAGCAGGCTAATTGCTTACATACTTTATGAACCGGCTGACATTATTGCTAATGATTGAGGAGGACGCGAACGCTGTTTTTTTAGGTGGATTTGGTTTGATATTGCGGTAACGCGCTTTTCACATTGCAGGGCATTAGAGGAGGCTGTGTACAGGTGCTACGAGCTCACACAGGGTGTTATGTGGTCGATGATGTGTTGCCTTCTTATTTCGTCTTAATTATTATGCGCTACAGATGCAGCCATATCGTATGCGTGTGTTGTGCGCGTCAGTTATGAAAGTCGTTTTTCCACTGGGTCCCTTTCTGATGGTCGAAATGCTGAGCTGCTATTTAAATTCGATCCCCCACATAGTTATGGTGTCTGTCAATGTGACACATCGTTTAAAATGATGATGTGAAATCTTTGGCGGGTGCGTGTGTCAAGTGGCATGTGATGGCCCAATGCATTTGGCAGGGCCATTTGGTTTGATTCATGTGCTGTCAACGAATCTGTGAATTAAGAGCAAGGGACCAACAGCCTAATCTTTTAAGGAACAAGCCTTTATCTACACAATAGCTGTTTGTGTTTAACACATCTGCATGTTTGTTGACTCTTGAAGAGAAGAGATGTTTGTGTTAATGGTGGAACATTAACTCACATGACTTGGTAATGATGTCAATTATCCCTCTCTTTGACCTCCAACAGTGAAAGGTCCTCATATTGCAACTATGGGTGGACGGAGCAGGACGGCCTTTCTGTGTCTGTGGGCTTCCTTACTTGTGGCCAACAGCGTTCTAGGTGGGAAAAGGTAAGAACAAAACTTTTATTTACAAATGCATGTATGTATGTTTCATTAGGATCATTGGATAATCCTAAATATATGACCGCCACACTAGAAATGCACACTTTTCATATGATTTGGTTTTGAAGCCTTTTGTAGAGTTAGAGATAAACGGTCAGTGGATTTAAATATTGTTTATATGATTGAGATGTTAATGGAATGATGTGATTGCGCCTAGTGACATTTGGAGGGTAAACTCTAAAGACCACCTTGTGTTGAATACACTTTTGTTGGAGAAGAATTATAGTTTATTATTGGTCTCAGTTCTTGCCAATGGTCTACTTGCTAGTAAATATGTCAGTAAATCAGTCGGCCAGCGAAGGAGGCAAATAGTGGTACACCTGCTGAGTTTCAATTATATCTTCCTGCCTAGTGTTCGGTATATTGGGTTACACCCTTACAAAGCAAATTCACTGTGGTTGTAACTGGGGCATCCCCACAGGACACCATGCTTAGAGTTGCATGGAGGCAATAAGAAATGCAACGCAGGGAGGAGGTTAGAAGCCAAAATCACAACCACCCAGCTTCTTCCTCCCCTTTTTTCCTTCACTAGTCTTGTGGGACAACATCTACATTCTCAGTTCTCAGACTTATGGGTTGTGAACAGTGGGTGATGTGTGTTGCATTGGGGCAATTGGCAAAGATGTGTGCACGTGTTTCTGACGGTGACTGTGGGGATGGTAGGGTTGATGTTCCAACACACATCTCAATGTCAACACTGAGGTGTCGGATGTCGCCTAACAAGAAGTAGACAAACATATTGAGGGAAAGACGGAGAGTGATTGGATAAGAGGGGGCAGTAACTCACTGTCATATGTCCGCAACTGCATTAATTCCCACTGGAGTCAAATGCTGGGCAGCCATTCCTATGTAGCAAACCTCAAAATATCCTAATCTGACAACACTCTTTGGATTAACGTGGATCATTTTGACATTGAACCCTACATTAAATACGAACGCAGACTATTTACAGTCAAAAATAAAACACCAAACATGCAATTCATTAGCTGTTGCAATGGCATGAGATCATTTGAGCTCTTTCGTAATCTTGGAGAGACTCAAGAGATCAGGCTTTTCTGCATGGTTGAATTATTCAGTAGAACTGTCAGAGGCAGTTCACTTGAATGGCGATGTCTTGAGATGGACCAGCTCGCTTCTCTCTTAGTGACAACAACTACGCCACAAAAAACACACATGCATATAGTACACAGTACATGTTTCATCTTACACGCCCTGAGCAAGAGCAGAACACAGATGGAACCTGTCCTATTTTAAATGTATGATGAACTACAATACGTCATGATTTCCCACTGGTTTGATTTAACTGATTAATTAAAGTTGTAGCTAAGGTTTTGGATACTGACTAACAAATGGAAGGTATGATTTACTGGGTCTGATGTGCTGAATGTTGAGCACATTAGAGGAAATGTAAAAGTACTGATTACTTTATTGGGGAACTGTCACTGCAAACTGCAAAGCAATAATCACCGAAAGATTTACTGTATAATCCAGTCCCTCTTTTGAAGTCAAATACAGAATCTCACACACACGCACACACACACAGACGTACACACCTTGGGGGATTTCAACAAGACACGGTAATCAGGAAGACCTGGCACTCTGCTACAGTATGTTGCCAACGAAAGAAATTGCCTTATAATTAGATATCCGAGTGACGAGAGCGAAGGGGACTGAGAGGGAGGAAGAGAGAGAGAGATGTACAGTCAAATGGAGAAAAGGGGAGAGAGTGAAAGAGAGACATTGGCAAAGTGAGTGTGAACGGCACTGTTGCTGTTCAGATGACCTGTAGATGGGGATGGTGTACAATGTTTTATGAGGAAGTGGCCCCTGGCTGATAAACATGTGTATTCTTCCACATCACCTTTCCTCTCTGCTTTCTTTTCTTGTCCTTGACATACAACCCCCAACCACCTGTATTTCCCATTTACACTGTGAAAAAAATGTCTATCTTTAAAAAAAGCCATGTGTTATTCCATCAGTTCCTAATGTGTAACATGGTTGCTTTCTACTATAGATTATGACTTGTCAGTACCTTAAACCAATGAAAAAAACAGCAGCCTTTCCTTCAAAGACTGCAAGGTCAAAGATTAATAAACCTTATAAAAAGTGTTTTTTCCACTGATTATTAATCACTTTTTTTGACATTGATTTGTTTTCCTTGTATTTTCGTGTATTTAAGTATGTTTTAATTATTGTTGAACTTCAAAGAAATACAGGACATCCTGTTTTTTTTTCTCGGTTGGTGGAGAGAACTACAAAAGGACTGTAACCCTTGGAGCGGACCAAAAACTGCTTTGGTGTTTTGTTCTGATATAGGGCAAATAAAAATTGCCTTAATGAATATAAAAAGTATGAATAATAATCAGAATCAGAATTCCTTTTTCGTCCCACATAGGGGAAAATTACAATAAGGAAGGGAAGAGGAGATTGTGTTTTATTTTAGCCTGTCAATGGATGCAAGTTATGTTTTTGTATATACATAATTTGCTACCAAGATCAAACAAAACAAAACAGACCAGTTATTGTTTTGAATGCGAATATTTCAAAGCTGTTACCTTCAAGCCTGACGTTAAACAAAATTGCTCTTTGCAGTTTCCACAGTTTAAATGCTGGCTCAGATAGTTGCCTTTTTTTGGCAGATGGAAGGACGCTTGCAAATTGAGCAAAATCGGTTGCTGAGAGATACACATTAACCATTTTTATACAAATCCATGTGTGACGCGGATGTGGCAGCCTTATTTAGAAAGCAAACATTTTTAGCGGCTCATGTTCAATCCAACAGCTTTGAACATGAACTGTTTTTGCACTACCCACTTTAATTTCCTAAGCTTTTCCCAACCTCGCTCTTCTTCCTTTTATCCGCCTCACATCCATCTTTTTTATCTCCCATCTTTTTTTATTTTCTTTGTCTTTCTTTGGAGCTTTACTCACATGTTTCTCCAGAAGCCACTTTCCCTCCCTCCTACTTTTCCAACCCTCCCGTTGCAGGTCCCTGCTAAATAATCTTGATGACCTCTCCCTCTCCTTGGAGCAGTTAAGCTTGCAGAGCTTGTTTCCAAACACTTTCTGTTTATTTAGGATGCAATCAAACCAAATGCTATTGGCATAAAAAGAGGGAGAGGATGATTGCTTAGAGGCATACAATGCCTAGTGAGAGACTTTCATCTGATTATTATCAGCCCTAACCCACATGCAAACATATGGATGGTATGTACCAAAGCTTGTGCGTAGACCCTAAGCCTATGCATTCCTTTATTCGGGTGTGAGAACACACAAATAAAATAAAATGTAATTAGGGGCCATATTCCTGATTATGAGTGCGTTGAAATATTTATGCGGGCAGATGCTGCAAACTCTGCTCTTGCAATTACTGATTGTCACTGTTTTTGGTATTGCTCTTAGCATTTTGATTCATGTTGTGCATAAAGCACATTCAGCAAGGCCTTTGTGGTCTGAAAGACCATATTATGGTATAAATAATGTATTATAATTTCTCTATTCTCTCTGTGAGATTGTGTCTGTGCGTGGGTGCACGCTCATGTGTTGCATGCCCATTTTCACATTTGGATGAAAATAACTTTAACACTCGTCACACTTTCCGAAGGGATAATACAGGATTATCTGCCCTTTGGCGACAACAGTAAAATGCGGCAATTTTGTCCATTTTTTCAACAGAGCTGTCCTGCTAACTACAAAGCAGGGATCTTTCTTTTTTGTCTTTGATATACAGTATGATTCATATTCAGGGTTTGTTCTTACTCTTTTGGCAGTTTTGAATGTGGTTTTGGACTCTAACTGTGATGACTTTAAATCTTATTCTTTGCTTTGCCAGCTCTGGGACGAACGGCATGACAGATGAACAGAAAGATAACACTACAGTGTTCACCAAGATCTTAGACAGCCTTCTAGATGGCTATGACAATCGCCTCAGGCCAGGACTGGGAGGTCAGTAAACCCTTTTTTCCCTCACAGTGACTGTTTGAATATTTTTAATTTCTACCCATTTAATTTTCAAATGTCATTGGAAAAAACCTCTACAAATAACTTTATTTTCACATGACTACAAATAGAAATCTCCACATGACTACATCTTGTGGAGGTGGGTTTGCTTTGACTGTCAGATTGTGTGTGTGTGTGTGATAATTGAAAAAAAGAACGGGAGACTCATTCTTCAACTGCAGCTTTTGTAAAACAATGAATTGCCATAAAGCCAGGACTTCTAATATAACACAGTGAATGGCATTTCATCGTGTGGGCTGCTCTTCACTCTATTGTCAACTGACCATTGTAAGAGAGAGAAACAAAATGTCAGGGAGACTGAGACAGATCCAGATAATGGAACATGAGAAAAATAGAGAATAGGAAAGAACAAAGTAAAAGGGAAAAAAGAGGAGAGATAATGTGAGAATTGGTGTGTGAAGGACGCAGAGGACTGCACAGTGCGATGTAGCAGGCATCAAACCGACAGGCGAATAAAACCAAGCCTGCTAAAAGTTCAGCAGCTGAGGGAAAGAAATTATGGATTATGATAGGTATCATTCATAAATCATGCTGTCGTATTTTAGTTTCAGAATCGCAAGAAACCAACTCTAACCCATGCATCGCCTCTGCCACCAACTCCAATTGAATCCCCAGTAGACCCATTTCGGTTAACAGTATTATGGGACCAGAGTGGTATATATTCAGTAACACAGCAATGTGCACATTTATGAAGGGATTGAACCACTGGCCCGGTAATGGAGCTGACACTGAAACCAATACCAGCAGAAATGGTTATCGATCTACAAAATGGACGTTTTTATTGTGGTGTGTTTTTATTTTCTTCCAATTTATGTGTGTGTAAATGTGTTACATAATGTTGAATGGATCAGAGGCTACAGCCAGGTAGGCTTGTATTAACAGGTAGTTAGGGGCTAATGAATGCCACTGATAGTCACTCACTCTGGCAATTTCCTGCTTCAACAGAGCGTGTAACTGAAGTCAAGACTGACATTTTCGTGACTAGTATTGGGCCAGTTTCGGATCATGAGATGGTAAGACTCTTTTTGATTCTTTAAATGTCACCAGTTGCCCCCTTTCCCTGTTCCTCCACCCTCACCCCTGTCTTATAAACTCTCCAGGCAGACTGTTGTGTAAACTGTCAAATAAGTATTCATTTGATGATTGATTCCATTAACTCCTGATTTGTTAATAAAACTGTTACATGTGTGAAATGTATTTCCTTGTGCATGATTCGTAACCCAGCTCTACATAAATGCCACCCCGTCTCGTTAATACGACTGCATGTGACTTTTATGTGGATGTTGATATATGCTTTAAAATTTGACCCTAAACAAGTTTTAAAAAAAAGTTTAATGTAAAAAATAAATAATAATAATACTAATAATGTTCGGGTCTACACATATGCTGATCTGTCTCTACTAAAAATGACAGAGCTAACTAACAATATATTAAAATTGAAGTACTGAATGTGCTGTAAAGTAAAAGTAATTACAGGGCAAACATAGCACAACATATGTGTTATATTGCCTTTATTTTTGAAATTCAAGCTGTTATCATATTCCGAATGGATTTTTCTAGTCATTACAGAATAGTGAGATGATTTGGCAGTAGATGGCAATACAAATAATAAGCTACGATTCCATATTGAAATAAAATGCTACCTAAAAATATGAGTCATCATATTTATGTTTTGTTTAGTCTTCTTCAGTATGCTACCTTCAAAAAAAGCTGTGGGCCGCTCCAACATGAGCATGATCTGATCTTTACTCTCTGCACTGGAAACCAATTAATCTCATCCAAATGTCTCACTGCCTCTCCTTTACCGCTTTAAAAAAAGAAAGGACTTCTGTTATCTGCACGTGAAGTGTGGTTCTCTATTTGACATAATCTCAGTTAATTGCAGTGGCTGACATGCGGGCCAGGACAGTTTTTCTGCTGTGTTATAAGGCCAGATGGAAAGCCGAAGAACAATTTCTCCATCTCCAGCCTTTCCCTATCCCCCTGTATTACCTCAAAGCTCTGTTTCAGCTCACACTAATTATCTTACGTGGGCCAAGTGGAATGGGGGAATAAGAGAACAAAAGAGAAACAGGCTGGGCTGTAATTTTTACAGCCTCTCTTTACTGTGCCGGGCAGTCATGTGGAACCATTAGAATCTGCTCTCAGCTATAGTCATTAGCTGCCTTCAAAATGAAACGTCTTCCTAATTTTGTTGTCCAGTGCTTCCTTTTTGTGTCCATTATAATTTAGATTACTAAGCGAAGAAGTTTCCCTAAAGACAAATGCTAACAATGATCATGTTTGGCACTTCCAAACAATGCCCCATTTGCATACATGCCATTGCACTGACACATAATTGTGTCAAAATGGTGTCAACATTTAATGGAAAAAGCAACCAAACATATAACTAAATAAAAATAGAGAACAATTACTATACTTAACATTAGAGGCATTCTTTTATAAAAGATACCAGCCAGGAAACCATGCACCTCTGTCCACAAGATCCTCCCTATATTTTTCAAAGGCTTTAACATGAAGAGACAGCTACCAGCAGGGAAACAAGGCCAAGGCTAACATGAGAAAGTCAAAGTGACATGAGGAACAGAAAAAGAAACATTGCAAAAAAAGTAGAAAAATAAGGTTACTCAGCATCTTGAGCCAGCAGCAGTAGATGGAGGTGGAAATAAAACAGCTACCGGGTTGGGGGGGATGTTTTTTGTTTCCTTCTTGACTTTTATATTTATTTACCCCTTACTGTGCACCCGTAGGAGTACACTATTGATGTCTTCTTCAGACAGAGCTGGAAGGATGAAAGGTTAAAGTTCAAAGGCCCCATGGCCGTGCTACGTCTCAACAACCTGATGGCCAGCAAGATCTGGACCCCCGATACCTTCTTCCACAACGGCAAGAAGTCCGTGGCTCACAACATGACCATGCCGAACAAGCTGCTGCGAATTACAGAGGAAGGAACTCTGCTGTACACCATGAGGTAGGCTGACTAGATTTAAAAAAACTGCTTTAGAGCTGATGCTGAAAGTCTTATGTTACTCAAACTGAATGAAATAGTGCATTCTGTAGGCACCATTTTTCAGCTGTGGGTAAATACACAAGTGGTGTGCTTCTACGTATTTGTGGCACCAGAGCAATGTATGTGCAATTGAGTAATGATACATTTCAGTGCCTATACTGTATGCATGGAAAAGAAGGAAAGTGTCACCCAGTCAAAGGGTCATGTTTATTGATGTGTTCTTAATAGTTTTTGGACATTTTAGAAGATTTCTGGCAGTTTTCTGGCTTTACTGTTGGTTTTAATCTTGGTTGTTTAAAATGCAATTTATTAATAGGTCTAAAATGAAAAGGCTATTGTATTTATTAAACATTTTTCATTGAGTACATTTTCTGAGGTAGATTGCTTCTATCTGTAAAAAAAAGGCAGTATTATTATAGTGCTGCATACTGTCCTTCTCACACAAAGATGATTCATTAGTCTTCTAAATGTATATTCTCTCTATTTTATATATCATTTTATATTACGTATTGTTCTAAGATTATGGTCAGCCATTTAGAAGTTCTGTGCACCACATACTACACAACAATGTCATTTTTCCATTGTAGTGTTCACCAGGAAAAATGAAATAGTTTTATCCTGTCATGATTTATTACTTTGGGGATTCTACGGGACAGTTGCGAGCAGGAAGATAAGGTGTATGACCAGCTGAGCTGAGTTTAGAACAAGTCGTGGCACCTCTGTATCCTTCAGCAGAATGCGGGTAAATAAAAGCCTCAGAGACGGCACAAACCTTGACGCACACTGCAGGGTGATGCTAATGTGAGGTGTCTGAGTCAAGGATTGTAAAACATTTGTTTTAGCATGTTATCCAGCAGGGGGAGGGGGTGGAGGCGGAGCCCATATTGCTGTCACAGATGAACGAGATGAGGGATGGATGGGAGATTAGTGTGTCACGGGTGGCCTGACGAGCTGTTTTTCACCAAGCTGTCAGGAAATAGAAACCCACAGCTCAGGGAGCTGGAGCGTTTCCGTGGGTTTGGGTAAAGTATAGCTGCTGTTTAACTGTTTGGTGCAGAGATTTAGAAAAATAAATAAGTAATATATTACATGTTTGTGGGGCTTGAATTTGAATTGTCATTTTTGTGCCCTAATTCTTCCAATCCTCTTCTTCATCCTTTTGACATCATGGTCGCTTTCTTTCTTTCTTTCTTACTGGCTTTGCTGTTCTTTTCTTATTTGCTTGCTACGGTTTAGTTTTTTTCTAATTCACTCTCCATGTCTGTATGAATCTCTCTAGGCTTACAGTAAGAGCAGAATGTCCCATGCACCTGGAAGACTTCCCGATGGATGCCCATGCTTGTCCACTGAAATTTGGCAGCTGTAAGTGGCCGCTGCACTCACACACAACCTTACATACAAATGCACACCACACAGACACATGCCTCTCTGACACGCTGTCACTACTTCATCTAACTGGAAGCGTGAGCCCGCACCAGTCCCAGATAAGAGGTGACAGTGTGGTAACAGCTGTTCTCCCAGAAGAACTGTCCGCCAAGTCCCCTCTGGCCCCCCCATTCAACTCTGCCAGGCCCTGAAAGACCCTGCAAGACCCTGGCAGGCGTGCAGCGCACAGAGCTGCGTTTATCCGAGGCAGCACTCTTTGTAACGTTTCCAGAACATCACACCAGCTGCTCACCGCTGACAGCTACCCCTACCCTGCATCACCGTCAAGAAGACATAACAAGATATAGAGTGATTGAGGCCGCAGACAAGAACGGAGAGAAAAGCTAGATGCAAAAAAAACTGCGAAAGTGAAAGAGAAGTGAACGTCAAAATGTCTCTGTACCATTCTTCAGACAGCTGCACAGCGTGAGTGAGAGGACCTAGCATCAACCCCCCTTTAAATTGAACTCACTCCCTAAATATTTCAGTGATGAGCCCTCTTCCGTATGCTGCAGTCTGCAGTCGAGCCATCCTTTCCTCTGCAGTGGTCGAGCCACACTGCGGCTTTGACAGGTTGGGTGGCCGGAGGGGAGACAAGACTGACTTTGCTGTTTTAAGGTCATGTTGTCCTGTTGGGAGGTTGTTTGTTTGTTTGTTTTCTTACAAGTAGAGGGACGACATGACGTGATGTGAAAATACATCACATCAACGCATGCTTAAATGTTTTAAAAAAGGACAGCAAAATATGAGACAGCATTACCTGAGGAGTATTACATAAATCAGTGGAGATGACGTTAGCAAACACTCAAGAAAAGAATGTGCTTGAGTAGCAAAATGAGACAAGACAGGTAGAATTAAGATGAGAGTAGAGTAGATGAGATGAGAGAAGACAAGATGAGGTAAAATGGAACGAGGGGATTTTAGTGGAGAACCGCACTTTAGATGTGTCCTATTTTCTTTCTTCAAATGGCATCCCTAGCAACTCCAAAAATATAACCCGCAAGGCACCACGTGACAACAGACAACTGGCAGCAAAATAATTTATAGGTTTTTGCTCCGTTCTTCCTTCCAGATGCCTACACTCAAGCAGAGGTGGTGTATGTGTGGACCAGAGGGGCCGACCAGTCCGTGGTGGTGGCGGAGGATGGGTCCAGATTAAACCAGTACGATCTGATGGGGCAGCATGTGAATTCTGGTGTGGTGCAGTCCAGCACAGGTAGGTTTTAGTTATGTAACAATGTGATCAGAATGGTGTGAAATACATAAAAAATGCATTTGAGTTTACAGATTTAACCTTATTTCAATGTTAACACTGCATTGGCCAGTCAAAAAAGCTCAGTAGAAAGACGTTCCCTACATAAACATTTACACAGAAACTAATCACTTCACCAACTACCGGTCTGAAACTGTTCATTCAACACAGCTGCAACAGTTCATCTGCAATGTCAGTGGCATCAGTTTGACACTTTACAAATGACATGCCATGCCCTAGATTTATAATTTCCCTACTGGGCATCACGTCTTTTTTCCACCTCCTCTTTTCTTCATTGATAGCGGCAAAAAATTTGTGACAGCATAAAATGGGTGACCTGTTTGGAGTGACGCTAGCTGCAGGCGGAAAGTAATGCTTACTGTAAAACAGCCCAAGACCCCAATCTGCGCTTTGCTTTATTAGCTCCCGAGTGACTGCATAGACTAAGCTTGATTGAATAAGCAATGCTGATGTGTAAAGTCATTCTATTTTGTATTTGTTCCAGTTATTTACGTCTTTTGAAAGCCTCAAAAGCCTCAACATATTTCTATAACCCTTACCCATAACATAAACCTCCGGTGCTGGTCCTCTGACAGTCATATTATATGTTCGACCCGGTGTAACTGCCTAATGAAATGGATCATGCCTTGGTATTGAGTTGTTCTCACGAATGACACCCACAACTATGCCAATATATCTCAACTATACTTAAACTGAGCACAGCAATCCATTTAAACAACCCTAGTACAATAGATGTCCAAAACATATATATTTGAAAGTGTATCTGTGCATTCTTTCTGACTTAATTTGTCTGCCCACTACAGGAGAGTATGTCGTGATGACAACCCACTTCCACCTGAAGAGGAAAATTGGTTACTTTGTGATCCAGACATATCTACCCTGCATCATGACAGTCATCCTCTCCCAAGTGTCTTTCTGGCTCAACAGAGAGTCTGTCCCTGCCAGGACTGTCTTTGGTGAGTTGTCTGCTCTTCTCACTTCTAAACATCTGTGGCTTGAGAAATAAGCACTTCATCAGATGCTTTCAAATCTGGTTGTGGAGAAAATAGATGTGAAAGACATGATGGCTTGACATCAGGCATGCTGTTGAGAAAGACTAAAAACTAAATTAGAGTCATAATTAAATCAACGCATGAAATGATGTAAGGGTTTGACCTCACAATGGTTACATCACAGTTTTTACACCAGTGTTATTGTTGCCCAATGATAGAAAATGTTACATAATACTAAAACATATTGCATGGTTGGAAAAAAGATATCACTGAGATACAAAAAGTATCCATTATTTCATAAATCACTCTGACATTATCTGATTTAATTTTTAAATAAGAGCTTCTTGACTCAAATGGAATATAAATGAAAATAGGACAACATGCTGTAACAATTTCATGAAGAGTGGACGGGCACAGTGTCTTCCTGGTGTCTCTGCTGGTTGCCTGGCAACCTCACAGAGATAACACAGTGGTATCAATCTTCTCATCTAATCCTAGGCAAAAAAGCTAGAAAGCGTATTTGCCAAAATGTCAAACTATTCCCTTAAAGGATATTAAATGTTAAAAAAAAGACGGGATATATTGCCTATTCAGTCCAAACGTCATTGTACGATAGTTCCACTCTATTCTCCTCTGTCTCTGTACCAGTGAGGGGAACAAGAGCTTTAATCAGTGGTGGCTGGCTGCGGTAGAAATTCAAGCACAAGGCTCAGTGTGAATTTGGATTTACGTGCTCGGAATGTTTGCCTACAAGTGTGTGCGCGTTTGTGATGTAAGTGTGTGTCAATGTGTGTGTGTGTGTGTGTGTGTGTGTGTGTGTGTGTGTGTGTGTGTGTGTGTGTGTGTGTGTGTGTGTGTGTGTGTGCGCACTGACTGGCCTATGTGTGTTGTGCACATGTGTTTGGACGTGTGTATGCAAGTGTCTGTATGTGAGTGTGTGTGTATCTGTCTGCCTGTCACACTAAGGTCTTACATAATACCGCCCAAAAGGAAAGCTCTTGCTAGTCTGCAGCATGCTCTGTAGCAGCAAAGAACAGCAGCAGCAGGCAGAATGTCCTTGAGTTACCTCACCCTGCACTCTTTCTTCCTCTTTTCTTTTCTCTCTCTCTCTCTTTCTCCCTCTCTCTCCTCTTCTCATGGACGGCAGTGTCTCCCTTTGCCTATTACTTAAGGAGCTTTCACCGAAAAAATAATTCAGACGCCAAATGTTGCAGCTCCGCAGTCTCCAGCATGTTTTTTTACTCCTGCAATGTCTCGGTGTCTGTTTGTGTGAGTTGTGAGTATCTTCATGTGTCACCGCAAGCTACCTGCGGTGCCCGTCACGTGTCGAGGGGAAATGAGGATGGCCTAGATTAGATTCGAACAACTATCTAGGGCATGTGTGTGTCCCTCATGCTATCACTGCTGGTTCTGCTTCATGAGATTACATGAATGCAGGATGTGCACACATGCGCGCGCACACGCACACACACACACACACACACACACACACACACACACACACACACACACACACACACACACACAGTGTCTGACCTGCACTCTGAAGATGAGAGCGTCCTTGCCTTCGAGCTTCATCTCCTCGGGGAGGTCTTGGTAAGCGTTGACGTATGGGACGTGGCCTTCGTTCACCAACCTGGAAACAGAGTCACATCTCCCTCTCAATCGAGCCGGTTGGCCATGAGGGTCGTGCGTCTGTGTATTGGGTTTGTTCAAACGGTGTATGACTGATGATATATCTCTTAATGTCCACTATGTTTGTACATGTATGCTGAGCTGCAGGACGGAGTCCAGAACACATTTCCTTACGGGGACAATACAGTATTTGGTATTTTTTCATAATTTGGTATTTTTTCCTAATTTGGTCTTTTTTGAGAATGTTGTCTTTTTTTCATAATTTGGTCTTTTTGCAGAATTTACATTTTTTTTAGAATTTACATTTTTTTTCATAATTTGTTTTTTTTTTAAAGTCTTTTTTCTGAATTTGGCCTTTTTCTTTTTTAGGTCTTTTTTTAAATTTTATTTTGTCTTTTTTTCATAATTATGACTTTTTTCATAATTTGGTCTTTTTTCATAATTTTGTATTTTTTTCATAATTTGGTCTTTTTTTCAGAGCTGTTTCTTTTATCTCATATTTTTGTCTTTTTTTCTGAATTTGGTCTCTTATTTTTTTTGTCTTTTATCTCATAATTTTGATTTGTAGCTGCTGTTTGACCTTCAGGAGTCTATCAGCTGTTTGACCTTCAGGTTTCTATCAGCTCTTTGACCTTCAGGAGTCTATCAGCTGTTTGACCTTCAGGAGTCTATCAGCTGTTTGACCTTCAGGAGTCTATCAGCTGTTTGACCTTCAGGAGTGTATCTGTGTTACCTGAGCAGGTCACTGAGCGTCAG